CAAACCAACATTGCAGATTTTCATCAAAAAACAATAGTGGAAACACAGCTTATCCAAATCTATGATACTGCAAAAGCAGTTAGAAGAACATGTATTACATTAAATACTTGTATCAATAAAATTAAACATCAATTGAAAAGCAAAACAAGCAAAGTAAATTAAAAGAAAGCAGAATAAAAGAACTAATAAAGATATAAGAAGAAATTAATAAGTGAGAAAACAGAAAAATATCTAAACTATATATAGATCTAAGGGCTGGTTCTTAGAAAAGATTATCAATCAGATTTCTGGCCAAGATGGAGGCATAGGTAGATATGCTTTGCTTCCTCAGACAACCAAAAGAAGGACAGCAACCCATTTAAAAACAAACAACAACCAGAACTGCCAGGTCAAACTATATGGAAGTCTGTCAACCAAGGAGTTAAAGAAGGAATATTCATCCAGATGGGTACAAAGGGTGGACATAGGAAGGCAGCAGCTGGTGGACTGGGTGATCCCACATTCAGGTGCAGATAAACCAGGAATAACAACTGGAGAATGAGACAGACTGTGCAACTCAGGGCTCCAGTGTGAGGAAATAAAGACTCAAAACCTCTGGCTGTAAAAATCTGTGGGAGTTGTGGCAGCGGGAGAAACTGCCAGTCTCACAGGAGGGTCCGTTGGAGGGACCCACTGGGTCCTAGAACTACCCAAATCCATGCATCTGGGAATCAGCACCGGAAGGGCCAAATTCAAGAAAGTGGGAGAGCTAAGCAAGCAGCATTGTTCCCTCTCTGACCCCTCCCCCACATACTGTGCCACAGAGTTGCAAAGTGGGTTGCCCCACCCTGGCCAATACCTAAGGCTCCACTCCTTAAAATGTAACAGGTGCACCAAGACAAAGAAATATGGCCCAAATGAAAGAACAGATCAAAGCTCCAAAAATAGAACGAAGCGATGAAGAGATAGCCAACCTATCAGATGGAGAGTTCAAAACAGTGATAATCAGGGTGTTCACAGAAATGATTGAGTATGGTCACAAAATACAGGCAGAAGTGAAGACTAGGCAAAGTGAAATAAAGAAAAATATACATGGAACCAATAGTGAAGGGAAGGAAACCGGGACTCAAATTAATGATTTGGAGCAGAAGGAAGAAATAAACATTCAACCAGAACAGAATGAAGAAACAAAAATTCAAAAAAAAAAAAAAATGAGGGGAGGCTTAGGAACCTCAGGGACAACTTTAAATGTTCCAACATCTGAATCATAGGGGTGCCAAAGGGAGAAGAACAAGAGCAAGAAATTGAAAACTTATTTGGAAAAAAAAATGAAGGAAAACTTCCCCAATCTGGTGAAGGAAATAGACTTCCAGGAAGTCCAGGAAGCTCAGACAGTCCTAAAGAAGTTGGACCCAAGGAAGCATACACCGAGGCACGTCATAATTACATTACCTAAGATTAAAGATAAGGAGAGAATCTTAAAAGCAGCAAGAGAGAAGGAGAGTTACCTACAAAGGAGTTCCCATGAGTCTACCAGCTGATTTCTCAAAAGAAACCTTCCAGGCAAGAAGGGGCTGGAAAGAAGTATTCCAAGTCATGAAAAGCAAGGACCTCCATCCAGGACTACTCTATCCAGCAAAGCTATCATTTGGAATGGAAGGGCAGATAAAATGTTTCCCAGATAAGGTCAAGTTGAAGGAGTTCATCATCACCAAGCCCTTATTATATGAAAGGTGAAAGGGACTTATCTAAGAAAAAGAACAGTAAAATGACAACAAACTTACAACTATCAACAACTGACCCTAAAATACAAAAAACAAAACAAAACACAAAAAGCAAAAAAACAAAAACTGAAACCCCCCCAAAACAAAAAAACTAAGCAAACAGCTAGTACAGGCACAGAATCACAGAGATGGAGATCACATGGAGGGTTATCAGCGGGAAGGAGGAGTGGGAAGAATGGGGGAATAGGTACAGGGAATAAGTAGCATAAATGGTAGGTACAAAATAGACAGGGGGAGGGTAAGAATAGTATAGGAAATGGAGAAGCCAAAGAAATTATATGTACAACCCATGGACATGAACTAAGAGAGGTGAATGCTGTAGGGACTGTCATGCAGGGTAGAGGGGTTAAAAGGGAGAAAAGAGTGTGACAACTGTAATAGCATAATCAATAAAATATACTTAAAAAGATATAAATCAATTAAAAACCATAGCTAATCTAATGAAGAACAAAAATGTAAGTGAATAAATATGTAAGATAAATGATTAGGAGGAAATAGTCACTTAAATAGAAGAAAATTTTTTATAAGAATACTACTTTTTGAAAATCTAGACAAACATATTTGAAAAGCTAAATTAAATAGATATTTTCCTAGGAAAATGTTATTTCCCAAATTTGATCCTTGGGAGATAGGGTATGTGGTAAAAAAAGCTGCAGTGGAAGAAAGCTACAGGAACCATCAATAAGGAAATCAGACCACCCCCCGGTGGATTTATGGCTTAAAACCAGCAGCGACCAGCTCACTCCAGCATGGTGACTAGTTTTACCTAACAGTAACCCCTAGCTTTACTATACCCTCACTGTAATATCTTAGCATGCTAAATGGACAGGGCAAGCCCACATAAGCCCACAAAATGGCTTACAGAACTTGTCTGAGAAATCTCCACCATTTTCCAAAAAGGATCCTGAATATTTTTCTCCATTATTGAGTACACCATCGCCAGATTAAATGAACATCAGTAAAGGAACCAAAATGTGCTAAAGAGGGCTCCTCCACCTGTGAAGGAGTCCACTTTCTGTCTCACTAAGACACTCACTTTCACTTTAAAGTCTATGGTGGCTCAAATTTTAATTCTTTCTTGCTTGAGATTAAGGGCCCACAGTGGTCCCTTAGGTCCCAGACCCCCAAAATGCCCACATCACTATTAAATATAAAAATGTAGCTCTGGCTGGTATGGTTCAGTGAACTGAGCACCAGCCTGTGAACCAAAGAGTCACTGGTTCCACTCTTGTCAGGGCACATGCCTGGGTTGTGGGCCAGGTCTCCAGTTGGGGGCGTTCTAGAGGCAACCAATCAATGTTTCTCTCCCTCTCGTTTTCCTTCCCTTCTCCTCTCTCTAAAAAATAATTAAATAAAATTTGTTTTAAAAATGGTGAATTAGTAGGATTTTGATGTAACAGTGATTCAGTACTTGAAGATACTGATATTTGATACTCTAGTAAGGAAAATTAGCCTCCCACATTTAAGCTGGAAAGTCACTGGAATAACTGTTTAGAAAAGAATCACGCCCTGGCTGGTGTAGCTCAGTGGATTGAGTGCAGGCTGCAAACCAAAGGGTCACTGGTTTGATTCCCAGCCAGGGCACATGCCTGGGTTGCAGGCCAGGTCCCCATGGGGGACCACCTGAGAGAGGCAACCACACATTGCTATTTCTCTCCCTCTGTTTCTCCCTCCCTTCCCCTCTCTCTAAAAAAAAATAAATCTTAAAAAAAAAAAGAATCACAACTACATGACTTTTTAGGTTTTTGGTATGTATACTAAGAATTGTGTACAAATTCAAATGTCTGTGTACTTATCCTAAAACAATCAATAAAATCTCAATTATGAAAAAAAATACACTCATGCTTATTAGTTATAAAAATATGTAAATTAAAAATAAGAGTCTACTACACACCTATCAGAATAAATTAAAAACACTGACAAAACCAAGTGTTGACAAGGATATGGAGAGTGTAGGACTCTTACACATTTCTGGGAGTGTATATTTGTACAGCTATTTGGGAAGTCTTTTTGCAATATATATTAAGCTGAACATATCCTATATCCTGGCAGTTCAACCCCTAACAATCTATACAAATGAAAGAGTGTGTGTGTGTGTGTGTGTGTGTGTGTGTGTGTGTGTGTATTTGCTCACAAAATATAAGAATATTCATTGTGTCATTATTTCCAATAGTTCTAAGTGGGAAATAACCCAAATATACACCAACGTAGAATTAATAAGTACATTGGGTTACATCCATTGTATTCTATACTATAAAGCAATAAAAATGAAGGAACTACTGCTATTCACAACAACCTCAAAGACTCTCATTAATATAGTCTTTAATGAAAGAAACCAGACACGAAAGACTATGTATGGTATGATTCCATTTAGAAGTACAAGAGCAGACAATGAACTATGGTGTTAGATATCAAGACAACAGTTCCCCCTGGAGGAGGTAGTGGGTAATGAATGACTGGGAAGGGGCATGCAAGGCACTTCTGAAGTGTTATTAATTCTAGCTTTTTATCTGGGTGGTGATTATATAAATGTGCTCCCGTTGTGAAAATTCATCAAGTAGTACAAATATAATTTGTACACTTTTTCATGGCTGTGCCACTAACATGTCCGGCAGATGGCTAACCTAGGCTGGCTTCTGCTAGGGAGGTTCAGGAGACTCAGCTCTGCCACAGGTGTCTGTCTTTCTTTAAAAGCTAGCTCAGCTGGGCTCTCATTATGACAGCAGAGGTGCAAAAGGAGTGTGCCAATGTTCAAGTCCATTTCAAGTCTCTGTTTCCATCATGAATGCTAACATTCTGTTGGCCAAAGCAAGTTACATGGTGGCAGCTAGGAAAGGGTGGGCAGGTTACTCCACTCGTGGTGGGCAGGTACTGCAGTTACATGGGGAAGGGTCTGGACACAAGGAGGATGATGACTTGGGCCATCAACACAATCTACCACAGTGTGGGAAGAAGAAAAAGGAAACCAATGACAAAACAGTGAAACACATACAATAACTAAGAGAACTACAGGGTGCTCTGAGGTCACAAAAAAGGCTATATTTCCTATTTTATCAAGTATTAAAATTATTTGTGAAAAAATTCATGCATAGACATACCCTCTATCTTCCTAATGATAATCTTCTCATATATGATTCATTCTCAAAATTTCCACAGCTCCTGGAAAATAGGCTCCCTGTGTAAAATAGGCCCTAAAACACTTGCGAAACAAATCTTCAACCACAAATTACAAGGTAGTAATTTCTTCATTGTCGATTTTTATTTCAGGGTCCGAGAAGAGAAACAGACCCATATATGTTATATCCCAAAACATAGGACTTAAACTCTCCAGCCAGAGCCCAGCAGCAGGGGCCAGTCGTGCTCCCTGATATCAGACCCACACACCATGCTTGCTGCCCCACCCCACCCCCGCCCCCACCAGCGCAGATCAGCCAGAAAGGCCAAGCACTGGACAAAGACAAGGTCAACCATCACGTGTATTGGGGAAAAAAGAGACGGGGCACTTCCAGGAGTGCCTCCCACAGGCAGACACCTTGGCAGTTTGTTGGGGGCTCAGGAGGAGCAGGGAGTTCATGGGGCTCCTCCGGCAAAGATGAGCTCCAGAGCTGCTTGGATGTCCCTGCCAGTGGCCTGAAGGGCCCGCAGGCTCAGCTCATCATCGTGAATGCCCATGTCGCGCAGCTGCTGCAGCTGAGGCTGCCACTGGTTCTGCAGAAAGACAGGACCAGGGAAAAGCTGTTAGGTGCGGTCCCACGGAGGCCCACTCAGGTCTATCCTTTGAGGGACGGGGAAAGGGTGGATTAATACTGCAAACTCTGACCTGAAGTTCCACACAACACAGGATTTCTAGTAAGAATGCAAGAGAGACTCAGGGTTTAAAGAACAAATTAGAGTTTATCCAATTAAAAAAAGACCTCTAACATAAGGATCAAAGAAAAAAGCACAAATTACCCCATGTCTAAAGTTCAAAAGATTACTTTCTTTCTCCTCCTATACTTATAAGCAGACATACACATGCGCAGACGTGCACACATGCAAAAGGGGGAGGAGGATAAAATTTTTCGTTTTGTTTCTTAGCACGTCAGAGAGTGAAAAGTCTTCCTTCTGTCCACTCTCAGCCCCATCCTGGATGACCAATTCTGTTCTCAGAGGACAAACACATATTCCTAAACCTACACTTTTGTTACATTCCTCTTCCATATGTATACCCCTCCTCTGCTTTCCGTTTGTTTGTTTGTTTGTTTGTTTTTCCCTCTTCTGTTTTGTTAACGCTCTCAGTGTCCCCTGGACATCTCTCTGTGCCAGGACTGAACGAGCGTTTTAATAACCGTAACACGTTTGAACACCGTGGACGTCCTGAAGTGTACCAGAATCCTTCGCCATTGGAACAGCACTGCAGGGACTGACCCTGCACCAGGGACGCTCTCCCCACCTGCTCAATCTCCTGCACAGACTCTGAGACAGGGACTGTGAGGAAGCGCCTGGTGCGGGCCGTCTGCGCGTGAGCAGTCAGTCCACGGCCTCGCTCCTTTTCGCTAAATCAATTTTGTTGTTAGCGCTCAGACTTTGCCTGGTGTTTTCTCTTTTTTTTTGTTTTCGATCGCTCTGCATAAATCTTCACTTTTACAAGCTCAAAATATATTACTCTTTATACAACGGCTCCTGGATTTTGACTTTCAGGTATGAAAAACCTTCTCAACTGTAAGGGTTTAAAGCAATTAAGCCATATTTTCTTTCAGTACTTTCAAGGCTTCATCAATCTGTCTATCTCATGAAGTAGGTGAGTGCACAACTTAGGGAAAATGCTGTGCTCGCACTGTGCAAAGCAGAGGGTAGTGGGGGAGGAGTGTAAATTTGTGCAGGCGGGAGGGGAAGGAGGGCTTTTGAGAAAACCATGAAACTACTCTGACTCCCTTTACAGGCCTGGTGGAACCACTGAAGCTCCTGAGCTGGAGAACAAGGTGGGCAGGCATCCAGCTGCGATGAAGAAACGGAAAAGACAAGCTGTCCCTCCACAGGTACCGCTCCCAACCCCTCACTGTCCACCTGGGCCACGTCAGGTACACATAACCCCACGGGCTTAAACCTGGTCTCTACTACTTCCTGGCTCACTGACCCTGGCAAGTTCCGGAAATGACCCACAGCCTCATGCTCACTGTGAGCAGCAAAGGAAACGGGGAAGCCGACGGCTGTGCACAGAGACAGGCAGTAAGACCCGACCCCGTGGGCCTTCCGCTTGGCGGCTAAGGTGCGCGTGCCACGAGGCAGAGCAGCTGGCGTCACTCCTGCGTAACCCTCCACTGCTCCCTGGTGCCCACCCTGCCCAGGCCCTCTGCTCCTCACATGCAGGCGGGCACCTGCTTGCTTTCTCTCTGGCTCCACATCTCAGGATGTCCTCCATGAGGACACCGCCTGGAGCCTTGTAGTTCTCAGCATGTCACATGTCCCTCCACACATGCCTGGACACCATCCCTCCACCCAATCGACCCCTTCCCTGCCTGGCTAACCTCTAACTAATTCTTTGACGATCAGCTCAGACATCCCTTCTGTAGATGTTCTGCCACACCTAGACCCTCACCCCAGTCCTGGCCTGGGCTTCTAGCCCTGTTGCTCCCCAAGTTCAGTACCCAACTGCCTGGCGCCCCTCTGGCAGGAATGGGGCCGGCTCACCTCTAGCCCAGGAGCCGGACCCAGGTCCACGCCTCAGGATTCACATGCTCAGTGCTCAGGCAGCGCCCTTGGAATGAATGAAGGGACCAAAACTGCCGTGAGTGTCCAAGCCAGGTGGTCAGTGGAGTCAGGCCATGGTCCCTGGGTGCAGGAGTGCAAGTCCCAGGGACAACTTTCCTTGTGGACAGCTTCTTCCTGTTCCACGGCCTTGCCCCTGCTGTTCCCGGAGTGAAGCACGCCAAGTGGGAAGGCCCTCGGGAGAGCAGGAGCTCGGTATCCAAAGTGACTGGGAAAGCCGCACGGGCACCAGGCGGGGGGAGACTGACCTGAAGGCTGGGCTGCCCAGAGGCCTGCAGGGCATGCTGTAGGGCTTGGCTGAAGAGGTCATTGGTGATGGGCGTCCCTGACTGGACACCAGAGGACATTGGTGAGGTCCCAGAGGAATGGCCCTAGTGAGACAAACCAGAGGTCAGGGCCACCCTCAGGGCCGTCTCAGTCTCCCAGCACATACCCGCTGCTGTCACATCACCCCATGGTGCCCCTGGCGTGCCCAAATACTGCCTCCCAGCAGCGGCCTGCCCGACCTGACAACCACACAGGGGTCACCTAAAGGCTTGTCAGGCGGGCAGGAAAGGCTCCATTCTCTTCTGCTCCAGGGAAATGGAATCGAGCCCCTGACCTAGCCTAGGATCCTAGCACTGGAAGCTGGACAGACGGTCACCAGAAATACTTAAGCCATTGAGGGCTGGGCCCTGCCAGGGATGGGGGAAGCGCACTTAATGTGAGGGAAGGTTTCTCCTGAACCACTCAGGAGGAGGAATCAATTGGGACTGTGCTACGCCTTGGACTTTTGAGCCCTAAGGGCAAGGGAGGGGAAGGTCTCACAGCGAGAAACCCGTGAGGATTCGGGCAGTCTTCAGCTCAAACCAGATATCAGGGTCAGCAAGGACAAATCCATCCCACCGCTGGGGAGCTTCTCCCCTGGGGGCCCAGCCTCCACCTGCCCCTCCCCTCTCCATACCTGGGTGCCAGGAGTCGGTGTGTGCGAGCTGCTCTCTGGAGTGCTGGCCAGAGCCAGGGCTGTGGCCAGCTCACTCTGGGTGATGGGCCGGGGTCCAGCAGCGCCACTGTACCCCAGGGAGGCTGGGCGGGAGCTGGGGGTGCTGCTGGAGGGCGTGGACCTGGCCCTCTGGAGAAGGGAGGCACCCAGGATCAGGAAAGTGGCCCTGTGACAGTCCTGATAACACCACCCCCGCTCCATGTGCAGTTCTTGGGGAGACTCCCCAGGCTGCCAGGGTCACAAAGCAACAGTGTGGCATAGACTTGGCCACCAAAGGGCCCATGACCACCTCGCAGCTTGGGCTCCAGGTTGCAGGGATGCAGCCCTCCCTGGGACCACGTTCCCCAGAGGGCAGGCAGCCAGGCCACCTACCGGGTGAAAGTCGTCCTCGTCATCAGAGAGCCCTTCAAAGAGGAAGCCACCTGGAGGAGGCAGAACAGATTTCAGGGAGAGCAGAAAGGCACAGGCGTAGCTCCAGAATCGCAGCTCAGACACTCTCCAAATTCATACTTTCGTCTCTCCTCTTGGAAAATTACAGGACAGATGCACTCCCTGACTCAAACCGAGAGTTCCCGAGGAACACCCTCTGCCAGCGCTATACATAGCTGCTGAGTAAAGCGTTTTCCTGGGCCACTGCCGGCCCCCTGAGGGGGCCCGCACCACACTCTCCTGGGACTCACCTGGCATGTCCCGGTACGAGCTGGAGGGCGTGCTCCGGGAAGAGGAGTCAGCCCCCGGTAGCGGCGTGCTGCCTGCCACCGAGTGCAAAACCAGGACAATGGCATTGACTAGGGCCGGGTGAGCGGGCACCAACCTGGAACAGGGCCAGGAAGAAAGCCAAGGGTGAATAAGAAAGAAAGAGCGCCCCTGCCATGACAAAAGTCTGGGTGGCCCTCAGAAATATCAAGCCCCCCTGTGCCTGGCCTTGAATTCCTCAGTCTTCAGCACCTCCTTCCAGTGGCTTCGCCCTCCTCTGTTCTGCCCCTAGCAACAGTGGCAAGGCCTTCAGTCTTGGGACCCACCGTAAGTGCTTCACCTCCCCCAGCACAACGGGACAAGACAGCCTGGGAGGCTCAGGGATCTACCACTGCTTCCCAGGTCCCCTCTCTTCTCTTGGGGGGCGGTGAGGGAGCTTTTTCCTGCACTTGCAGCATAAGAGACAGAACCTCTTCTGTCCCATCTAGCTCGAAAACAACAGGGATCTACACACCCGCTTGCTTCCCCAGCTTCACATCCTTCAAAGGATGCTTCCTAGCTATTGAATGAGAGCTACACTGAGCCCAGCCCACGAGGCTGCCTCCCTCAGACCCTGCTTCACCTCCACAGCAATATGTGTTCTTGCCTTGGGCTGGGCGTTTCCTCAGAGCGCCCTGCTCTTTCTCGCCTCCTGATGGACTTAGAAGGGGGACGTGGGGGTGGTCAGGGACTGGGCTCTGAGAGCCGAATGCAGGGCAACAATCAGGCTCTGGCTCGACCGGATGAGGAGAGACAGGGTACTCTTTAAGAAGACGGGTGTACTTACGTGTCGAGCATGTTGGGGTCAGCAAAGACAGAGAAAAGGTCCTTGTCCTGGAGAACCCCTAAGGAGAACGGGACTCACCTCAGAGAATGAAACCCTGCCAGATCCGGGAGGGAGGAGAGGTGTTAGGCCTCAGAGCAACAGGCTCAACAGGGACTCAGGACCACAGAGCACCCATGTAAGGAGCAGCAAATACAGAGCACCAAGCAGCACAGCAGAGTGCTCTCCATCTTGTCCCCTGCTCACCACCTCCCCCTGCAGTGAAGTCACGTACTGGGTGCCAACACGCCGACCTCCTCTTTTCCCCCTGATCTCTGGCCTCTTCCCTGACCCATCAAGGTGTGCACGGAGTCTTCCCCGATAGCTGTGGTTTGGGCTAACCGCTGCCCTCGTCTGACATCCTCCCAGTTTCATTTATGATGTTAGGTAGGCTGTGGGGCTGACAGCTCTGGAGGGCTGGGTATGCAGAATGCATCTTGGTTCTCCCCCCCCACCCCCCACAAGACCAGTCATTCTTCAAAAGATGGTCAGAGTCTCTTTAGGGTGACTGCCCTCTTCTGGTTTCTGCTCCTCCAACAACTGCTACTTCCTCAAGTTCAGCTCTGTACTTACCGAGAGCAATGGGGTCACTGCTGAGGCCTGGGGTGGCCACAATGATCTGATCCAGAGACTCCTTATTGCTCAGCATCTTAAAGACCTGCAGGAGAAGCAGGGAGGGCTGAGCTCAATCCACTCGGCAGGATCCCACACTCGGCTTAAATCCTTGCTCCCTCTAAGTGCCTGCACATCCACCACCACCACCACAAGACAACAGCCCCAGGAATCAGATGAACCTCTTTCTCCTCTGAGATCGTGGCTTACTGGAGGGGAAACAAACAATTTTTCTTAAAAGGCAACATCACAGTAAACCTTCAATCTCTAGTCCTTCTCCCATCTATACTTCCAAAGTTTCCAAAATAACAGCTCTCATTACAAGTCAATGACAACAGTTTCTCTGGTCCCAAAAGTCCTTTGAGTCTCCATACAATCATCCTTTCATAGTCATATATATCGGGAAGTTTGCAGCTGTATCAACTTTGCTTATCAACTCTCCTCCAGAAAGACATGAGTGCATTTCCCAGTTTGGAAATCCAGGTGAGGGGCAGTGGGCAGGCAGTTCAGCCAAATTCCAAGGTTGAGGCCCAGTGGAGACCACATGTGGACCCTGTGGCTGTAATCACAGTCATTCTGTGAGGCTGGTACCAGGAGAGGTTGTACCATTATCACTAGATGGAAACTGACACTATGGAGCTGAGACAGCCTTTTGGGGGGAACACAGGGCTCTACTGAGACCCACAGACATGGCAAATTATTTATAATATTATTTTTAATTAATATTATTTTTAATTTAAAAAATACAAGAGGGACCACAAAACACACTATACCTCTAGGGGCTTAAACTTTCATCATGCTCGATATCCAGTGTCTCACTAGGACTCAAAGTTCCTTTTTGACTTTTGATTTTGGGGAGTTTTGATGTATACATGAAAGTTTAGCAGTTGTCTTAGTTTTACTTAGTTGCTCTCCTACCTAGGATATCAGCCCATTTCATAGGTGAAGGAATGTGGGTTAAGAAGGGGGAGCAGGGAAGAAGTTCACCCTGAGTCACATGTTAACAGTGTGGTTGCCCTCACCTATGACTGCTACTTGGGATGGATGGAGTAGGCTGTGTATGGAGTGCCCAACTACCTCCAGGAGCACCACTCCCAAAGCAAGGCAATTGGCCCCCCTGTGGCTCCATGTGGAACCACATCCTTACCTACAGTGCTAATTGTGAGCAGTCTCTCTTCTGAAAAGTATTCACCTTCAGCAAATCACCTCATTCATTCACTCAGCAAACTCATATTAAGCATTTACTCCATGCCTGCTTTTGGGCAAGGCACACGTATGTAACAAATAAGAGTCCCTGACATCAAGGAACTCTTAGGATGGCAGGAGAAACAAGGCTAGATCAAACAAAAACCACACAATACCAAATACCACACTGAGGGCCTCAGCAGAGGTGTGGACCCCAGCTAGAGCACTAGAAACAGTAGGCTGAAGCCATTACTAGCAGGGACAGCTAGGACAAAGGGCTGTCTCCCAAGAGAGATCATTTGAGAGCGTATTTAAGGGAGAGCTGACGTTTACTAGGGAGAGAAGGTAGTCTGAGCTTAAGAGAGAACACGTGTAAGGGCATGGAGGAATAAATTGAGGTGCTCTGAAGGACCAGCTAGTCTTTTGTTGTGTCTGGAGCCTGGGGGGACACACTGTTGCTCAACAAGCAGGCTGAGGAGATCTGCAGAGGATTTGTGACTTTCCACAGAGAACCACCAAAGAGACCTGGGGGGAGGAGAGGTCTGACAGATTCTCCTCCTACAGGTGCTAATCTAGTGGGAGACCAACAAAAGTGCCTCCTGGAGGGTGGGTGGAGATGCAAGAGGGAGAGGGTGTGGGGGTGGAGGCATATGGTAATGAGAAAAAATACAATAAAAAATAATGTAAATTTAAAGATAAAATGCAAAGGGGAAAAACAGAAATGTGCTTTCTTTTGGAAGAATACTCAAGGATACAGTATCTAAAATGCTGTCACAAAACAGTTTCTTTTCAGGTCTAAAAGTTTATATTTACCTCCCAATTAAAAGTCCGTTTGTTTCTGGAATAAATTTCTAGGCCCTGGCTGGATAGCTCAATTGGTTAGAGCACCGTCCAGATTTGCCAAGGTTGTGGTTCCATCCCCCGGTCAGGGCACATACAAGAATCAACCAGTGAGTGCATCAATAAGTGGAACAACAGATCAATGTTTCTCTTTCTCCCCTTTCTCTCTCTCTAAAAATTAATCAATCAAAAAAGAGAGAGAGAGAGATCTCCAGGCAGAAGATGGGAGAAAATGGAGCTACATCGGCATTAATCTTCTAAAGGATTATTTGCTAATATCTGAAGCAGATAATCAGTTAAGAGTCATGGTTGTCTCCGGGACCTCTGTGAGTTAATCTCACCTTTTAGAAGTAGGAAGCAGCCAGCCCAGTAAAAAGAACATGGGCCAGGAAACCTATATTCACAATCCAGAACTTAAATTCATTTTCTAAGTGGGTGACCTTTCTAACCTTCTTTTTCCTCATCTATAAAATGCTAATTTTGTTACCTGTCCTGCAGGGTGAGCATCTGAGTAACGGTTCCAAGCCTCAAGGGGACCAGGATTTCCACTGGAAATGCTGATGCCTGGGGAGCCCCAGCTGTGACCTCATCCCCTGGAGGAGGTCACAACAACCCCTGCCCTGGGGACTAGCCCCGTAATAGCTCCCCCAGCAGCCTCCAAGTCAACAACAACATCCTGTTGTTGGACTGGACAAGGGAGGGGCAGAACCAGCTGGGCAGGTGCAGACTGAAGACTGAGCTCTGTTTCTCCTTGGCAGCAGGCTGGCTCGCCTCTGACCTTGGGGACCAGGACCTTCCAAGCTTCTCCATCTCCTCCAACCGGGGATGGAATGGGAAAGGGGCGCAGAGCTTCCTCAGGCACGCCAGTCTCCTGCCCTCAGCGGGAGCACACTCCTCTTCAGCCCCCTCCTTGCAGGGAGGTCAGGCCCAAACAGTCCTACCTTTGCCTGGCCCAGTGTCAGGGACAGCCCTCAGGGAACAACCTCCACAGCCCTTCCTGCTCTGGTGAACTCTGAGGGTGTGGAGGTCAAGGGCACCCAGCAGGTTAGTGCCAGCACATCTCTCTCTGCCCAGAGCTGCTGAGCCGGGACTCAATATGCTGGAGGTCTCTCAATAAAATAAAACTTAAAAAAGTAGCTAACTAACTAAATAAATGTGCATACACACACACACACACGCTGGAGGTCCCAGCCTCCCTGGACAAGTGTAGGCCGGGACCCTCCCAGGACTCCCCAACCTAATCTTCCCCCCAAGGTGAAGTGGTCCAACAAGAAGAAAATAAATGACAGAGAAGAACCCCCCCCATACCTGGTCCAGTCCCCATACCTGTCTTGACTTTAAACTAAACCCCCCAGCCTATGCCTCATAGAGAAGTGGCTCTGGAACCACCATTATCCTTGGTCTGGTTGTTCTTCAAGGCCACCCCCCAACCCCCCCCAGCCCACTGGTAGACAGGAAGGAGGCTGACACTAACGAAAGGCCAGGAGGGTTCTCCTCTCATCCCACTCCTAGCCTTCCCCTGCCCAAGCCCATTCCATCCATGTGTCACCCAGAGGAGACAGAAGGCAGCTGTCAGCCAGCATATACCATCACCAGCTGGTGGTCCCGGGGGACAGGCGGATGGCAGGGTCTGTTTGACCAGTGGGGTGCCTGGCACTGATGAAGAAGACCCCAGGCTGCCCTCGGACACGCCAGGTGAGGGGTGGACAGACTCCAGCAGAGGCCATTAGTGTACTGCCACGCAGAGGGCACAGCCGGTGTGGCTACTGGAGTGTACTATGTGCAGGGGAGAGAGGTGGAGCTGCACTGGGAGACTTGGAAAGTGGGCAAAGAACCTAAAGCAGCTTCCAACAGCCTCAGGGCGGAGAGGCTAAGTGCTGGGGAAGTGCATATTACGTGCTAAGAGAGGGGCGTGTATTAAGTATGTGTGGGGGGGAGAGGTCCTGGGAAGACTTGGGGGGTGGGGGGCAAGCAGTGCCAAATGCAAGGGGTTTGGTGCGGGGCACGGGATTCTAGAACACTCAGATATGGTCCTTTGGCCCCCTTCAGAGGGCCCAAATGCTGGGCTGTCCAGGGCAGCCAAAGGGTCTGATGCAAGGCAAAGATTCTGGGAAGGCAGAGGAAGCCTAGGATGCAGGTGTTCGAGGTGAGTAGGCGGCCAAATGTCCGGCTGCCCTGCTGCACTCCCACCTGGAATACCTCAGGCTGAATAACAAAGAGTTAGCCCCCAGAGTCCCTCCTTCCTGGCCAAGGAGTTGCCTAAATCCTCCCCCCCTCCCTAACCCAGCAGTAGCACAGGTTCTGTGCCAGATCAGAGGCGGCGTCTGCACTGCGAGCTCACACGTGCCCAGTGACCTTGGGCAAGTCACAATCTCTCTGCTGCAGATGCAGTTTGAGACACTGGTTTTGTGTGAGCTTTTCCCCCTTCTCTCTGCTAAGAATACCTGCCCCAGATAATGCTCAGGCCCTGGCAATCCCTGCAAACCGCCTCAGGCATCAAAGGGCCCAGACAGGTCTAGACCCGCAGCTCCAGACCCGCAGGTCCCCTCAGCCCCCACCCCGAGTCCACCACCACCACCACCACAGGGGGGGCCGCAGATCCGTCTAATTTGGGGACCGAACCCACTCGTCCTAGGGGCGGGAAGCATTTACGTGCGGTGCAGGGGAGGGAGCTCAGTCCCTCAGGGTATAAAGCCTCAAACCCCCACCTAGCCGGCTTTCTGGCCCATTGTGGGGGGTTTTAAACTTCAGTCACCCCTGAGGCAGACTCTCGGGTCCTTCAGGCTCACATAGCTACGGCAGCCTAACAGCCGCACCCCCGCCCAGAGCCCCTACCTTGGGGGTTCCAACGGCCGCGCCCCGCCCAACAGGCAGTGCCCCCCACGCTGGCACCTATTCCTGGTGACAACTGCCACGTGCGGACCTGGTGGGGTGGGGGGGAGCGGCAGGTGCAGGTGCCGGCATTGCAGAGGTAGCGCCCAGGTGCCCCAAGCCTCTGCACCTTACCGCGTCCCAGCTCACCACAGGGTGCCCACCCTTTACCGCCTGTGCTCTGGGCCGGGACGGGGCGGGGGCAGGCAGCAGGGTCTTTGTTCCCACAGCCAGAGCGCAGCAGCGGCAGCAAGGGGTCCACGCCTCCCCCTCCACAGCCCCCCCCCCCACTCTGGCCCAGCCCGGCCCCCTGTGCGACAGCGGAGCCCAGCCCGCAGCTCAGGAAAGGGGACGTGGGTGGAGGTCCCAGGCGGAGAAAGGGGGGGTCTTGACCAGTGGCCCAGCGCTGGAGGACCGAGAGCTCCCCTGCGTGGAGAGAGGGGCCCGCTCCCTTCCCCTGTGCCCCGGCACTGCGGCTCTCAGTTGTGGGCGCACTAGCAGTGACTTAGCCGGGGCTCCAGCAGCCCCCCAGCCCCCGCCAGCTCCCCGCAGCGTTCCTGTTCCTGCCACTCCAGTGTGTCAGCACGCACACTCACACGCACACTCACCCAGACCCGCACGCTCCCCGCGAGGACAGCCCGGGACCGCAGCGCGCCGAGCCGGTGCCACACACTCTGCACCCAACCCGCGGACCCGCGCTCTGCCCCCTGCGCGGCGCCACCCACCTTTCCAGACAGCATAGACGCGGGGTCCGATCCTCGCGTGGCCGTGGGTGCCGGCGGCCGCCCAGAGCAGCAGCAGTAGCAGCCGCAGCGGGAGCCGGGACCGAGGCGGCCGGCCGGGGACGCGGGAGGGCAGGACGCCGAGGGCGGTGCATCCGGGCAGAGGCGGTGTCATCCCGCGGTCCCCGAGCGACGACGGCGAGCAGAGCTGCCCAGACTGAGCCAGCACCAGAGCACGGGCTGATACCAGCAAGAGGCGGAGTCAAACGCGTGACCCCACCCCGCCCCTCCCCCGCCCCTCTCAGCCTCTGTCGCCTCCGGGCTACCCCAGGGGGGCGCAGTGTCCACCGCCGGGGGAACCTTCGCCACCTGCTCCCCGGCACTTCCACGGGAGAACCCCGGCGGATGGGGCAAGGCAGACTTGTGGTCGTCTCTGATCTGCGGTAGCCCCGGTCCCCTCTCAGGGCCTCGGATCCACTCCCCCCAGCCGGTGATAGGGCTGGGCTAGGAGTCGGAGAGGACCTCTCCGACAGCACAGCACAGACGTCTACGTGTACACGCCAGGTACCTCGCTAATGGCCAGCTCAGCGGTTCGGACCTTGAAGGCTGTGGTTCTCGAGGGCTGGCTGGCCCGGGTGCACAGGGCTCCCTCTGAGCTGACAGCTTCTTCCTAAGGTGGCTGAGTGGCAGAGCTGCGATGAACTGTGGGGAGCACTCAGTGCCCCATCATTGCTCTGCTGTGAGAAGGTGGAATTTTCATCTTGGCGGGCTCCTGCCCCTCCCTTCTTCCCTCTTCTCCCCCTTCCCCAGCCAGCAGCCTTCTGGGCTGCCTCCCTGCAGCCAGCTGGTGTGTGCTCAGAAAATCCAAACTCATTTCCATGTGAGTGCAGGGGGATATAGTTAAGAAGGCCCCTTTTACTATGTTGAGGTAGTAGTTTCCTTCTATTCCTAGTTTTTGTGTTTTTTTAATTTTGAGAGAATGTCGAATTCTCTCAATGCCTTTTCTATATTGAGATGCTCATGTGTTTTCCTTTCATCCTGCTGATATTATATATTGATCAAATTTCATATGTTGTACCACCCCTTCATTCCAGGAATAAAATCCCACTTCTTCTTGTGTAATAGCTTTTTAATAATCCGTTGAAAATCGTTTGCTTGTATTTTGTTGAGAAATTTTGTGTCAATCTTCCTAAGGGTCTGTAGTTTTCTTTTGTCTCCCTCTGGCTTTGGTATCAGGGTAATCCTGCCCTTGTCAAATGAATTAGGAAGTGTACTTTCCTCTTCAATTTTTTGGAAATTGAAAAGAATTGGTACTAGTTCTTCTTAAAACACTTGGTAGAATTCACCAGTAATGCCATCAGGTTCAGAGCTTTTTATTGTTGGCAGATTTTTTATTACTGGTGAAATCTCCTTAGTAGTGATAGTTCTATTCAGATCTTCCATTTCTCTGGATTTTGCCTTGGTAGGTTTTGTGTTTCTAGGAATTTGTCCATTTCGTCTACGTTATCCAATTTGTTGGAGACAACTGTTCGTAGTAGTCTCTTAGAATCATTTTTATTTTTGTAAGACTGGTAGTAATATCCCCATGTTAATTTTTGATTTTAGTAATTTAAGTATTCTCTCTTTTTCTTTAGTTCACCTAGCTAATGGGTTGTCAATTTTGTTGATTCTTTCAAAGAACCAGCTTTTGGGTTTATTGATTTTTGTATATTGTTTTTCTCTTCTCTATTTTATTTATCTCTACTGTAAATTGTGTTTTCTCCCTTCCTTTTCCTAGTGCTTTATAGTTGATATACAATATTATATTACTTTTAGGTGTACAACATAGTGATTTGACATCATATACCTTACAACATGAACATCGCAAGTCTAGTAACCACCTATCACCATACAAAGCTATGACAATGTTATTGGCTATATTCCTTATGCTGTACATCACGTCCCTGTGACTTCCATAACTGGAAGTTTGTACCTTTTAATTTCCTTAACCTTTTCCACCTATCCCCCACCCATCTCCTCTCTGGCAACCATTGGTTTGTTCTCTGTATCTATGAGTCTTTTTTTGTTTTTTAGATTCCACATATAAATGAGATCATACAGTATTTATCTTTCTCTGACTTCACTTAGTGTAATATTCTCTAAGCCCATCTGTGTTGTCACAAGTGGCAAAATTTCAAACTTTTTTATGGCTCAATAACAGTCCCTTGTATATACATATAGCAAATCTTCTTTATGTATTCTCCCATTGATAGGCCCTACATTTGCTTCTTTGTCATGGCTGCTGTGAATAGTGTTGCAGTGGACAGAGGGGTGCATATATCTTTTGGAATTAGTGTTTCATTTTTTTCAGATAAACATCAAAAAGTGGAATTGCTGGGTCATAAGGTAGTTATATTTTTAATTTTTTTGAGGAACACCCATACTGTTTTCCGTACTGTCTGCACCAATCTGCATTCCCAGTAACAACAAATGAAGGTTGCCATTTCCCCATATCCTCACCAACATTTGTTATTTGTTGATGTTAGGTGATATCTCATTGTGGTTTTGATGTGCATTTCCTGGATGATTAGTGATATCGAGCATCTTTTCATGTGTCTGTTGGCCATTTGTACTTCTTATTTGGAGACATGTCTATTCAACTCCTTTGCCCATTTTCAAATTAGATTATTTGGTTTTTTGATGTTGCATTATATGAGTTGTTTACATATTTTGAATATTTATAAATTTTTGCATTTATCAAAAATATCACTTGCAAATATCTTCTCACATTCAGTAGGTTGCCTTTTCATTTTGTTGATGGTTTCCTTCATTGCACAAAAGCTTTTTAGTTTGATATAGTCCCATTTATTTTTGCCCTTGCCCAAGATTTTAAAATGTACGCATTTATAGCTATAAGTTTCCCTCCTAGCAACACTTTTGTTGCATCTCACTAGTTTTGGTATGTTGTGCTTTTGTTTCATTCATCTCTAAGTATTTTCTAATTTCCCTTGTGACTTTTTCTTTGAGCCACTGTTAGTTTAAAAGTGTGTTGTTTAGTTTCCATCATTTTGTGCATTTTCTGGTTTTGTTGTTGATTTCTAACTTCATCCCATAGTGGTCAGAAAACATACTTCATATGATATCTATTTTTAAAAATCTCCTAAGACTAAATTTGTTGCCTAACATATGGTCTATCCTGCAAAATGTCCCATATGGACTAAAGAAAAACATGTATGCTGTTGTTGGGTGACATGTTCTGTATGTTTTTATTAGATCTATTAGTTGGTTTATTTTGTTGTGTTTTTGTGTTTATTAACCAAATTTCTTGGTTTATTGTGTTAAGTTCTCTATTTCCTTAGTCATCTTTTGTCTGCATGTTCTATCTATTACTGAGAGTCAGGTATTAAAGTTTCCAATTATTACTGTAGAGCTTCTATTTCTGTCTTCGATTTTGTTATTTTTTGCTTCATATAGTCTGGTGGTCTGTACCCATAAATGTTTACGACAATAATTATATCTTTTGTTTTTGACCCTTTTATTAATTTACAATGTTCTTTGTATCTTGTAATCTTTTTTTACTTAAAGTCTGTTTTGACTAATATTAGTATAGCCAGCTGTTCTCTTTTCATTGCTACTTGCTTGGAATGTTTTCCATCCTTTCACTTTTAATCATTTGTGTCTTTGGACCTATTGTGGATCTCTTGCAGATAATATATGATTGAATTTTGTGTTTTTTAATGTTTATACTGTTACAGTTGTCCCAGTATTTCCCCGTTCACTTCCCTACACCCAGCCTGCACCCCACTTCCATGTTCATTTCCATGGATCCTTCATATATGTTTGTTCTTTGACTAACCCCTTAACCTTCTTTCAAACAGACCCCACCTCCCTCCACCCTCTTACTGCTGTCAGTCTGTTCCATAATTCAATGCTTCTGGTTCTATTTTGCTCCTTAGTTTATTTTGTTCATTAGGTCCCTCTTATAAGTGAGATCATATGATATTTGTCTTTCACCAGCTGGCTTGTTTCACTTAGCATAATAGTTTCCAGTCCCATTTGTGCCGTTCCAAAAGGTAGGAAGTCCTTTTTTCTGCTGCATAATATTTCATTGTATAAATGTATCACAGTTTTTTAAATCTACTCATCTAATTATGGGCACTTAGGCTGTTTCCAAATATTGGCTATTATAAATAGTGCTGCTATGAACATTGGGGTGCATAGATTCTTTTGAATTGGTGTTTTGGAATTCTCAGGATATGTTCCCAGCAGTGGAATTGCTGGGTCAAAAGGTAGTTCTATTTTTTTTTATTTTTTGAGGAAATTCCATGTGGTTTTCCACAGTGGTGACACCATTCTGCATTCCCACTAAAAGGGCACTAGAATTCTCTTCCCTCCACATCCTCACCAATACTTCTTGTTTGCTGATTTATTAATCATAGCCATGTTGGCAGGTGTGAAGTGATATCTCATCGTGGTTTTAATTTGTCTGATGGCTAGTGATGCTGAGCAAGTGTTCATATGTGTATGGGCCCTCTGTATGTCCTCCTTGGAGAAGTGTCTGTTCAGGTCCTTTGCCCACTTTTTAATTGGATTGTTTGTCATCCTGGTGTTGAGTTGTATGAGTTCTTTATATATTTTGGACATTAAACCCTTCTATGTTGTATCATTGGCAAATATGTTCTCCCATAGAGTTGGTTCCCTTTACATTTTGGTGATGGTTTCTTTAGCTGTGCAGAACCTTTTAAATTTGATATAATCCCATTTGTTCAACTTTTTCCTTTATTTCCCTTGCTCTAGGAGATATATTAGCAAAAATGTTGCTATGCGAGATATCTGAAATTGTACTGTCTATATTTTTGCTAGGGGTTTAATGGTATCATGACTTATATTTAAGCTTTTTATTCGATTTGAGTTTTATTCTGAATGTATGGTGTAAGCTGGTGGTCGAGTTTCTTTTCTTTTTTTTTTTTGCATGTAGCAGTCCAGTTCCTCCCATGCCATTTATTGAAGGACTATTTTTACTCCATTGTATACTCCTTTGTCAAATATTAATTGATCATTATTTTTTGCTCTCTATTCTATTCCACTGATCTATGTATCTGTTCTTTGCCAGTGCCAGACTATTTTGATTACAGTGGCCTTGTAATACAGTTTGATATCAGGTACTGTGCTCCTTCCACCTTTATTTTTCTTTCTCAAGATTGCTGATACTATTTGGGGTCTTTTTTCATTTCATATACATTTTTGGAATATTTGTTCTA